TAACGCCCGCAACGCAACGGTACTGTAACTGACGCGACGTTTCGCGCGCTTTTGCATGTACAGATAAAAGTATAAACAAAAAAGATGAGATTTTATATTATGTAGGTACAATTTTTATTTATTTTTAAATTTTTCGAATAATAGTTAATTTTGTAAAATAATTGAATAAATTCAATACAATGAAGCTTATTGTAATGCAATAAAAATATATGCATTTTTGAAAGGCTTTCCCTACAATAACGTAAGTTTCTAAGAAGCGACTTCTTTTTTATTGCACCCCTAGAATTTCTAAGGGTAAATCAGTTATCATGAGAAGTTATATTTTTCAGATGACGCTTTAAAAAAAGCGACTAAACGGCCAAGGAATTTTGCCCGGGTAGCCTACTTAAAATTATTGTTAATTCAGTTTCACTAATATTTATTATATACACATATGTGAAAGTATTTTTTCTGTCTGTTACTTTTTCTAAACAGATTTCGCTGACATTTATCTCCTGTCTTTTATCCCCACCCCATTTATGCGAGTGGAGGTGAGTTCGAAAACTAGTATATTATAAAACAGAGCCTGTAATATGAAATTTAACACGTCACAGGAGTAAACGCTAGCGGGTGGTCTTCACGCACAAAAGGAAGATTTTATCTTTTAAAAAAATATCCTAAATCACTAGCGGCACGGCACTATAAGTTTATAACTCACAATCAGTATTGTGTGGTATTTATCTACAAGTGCTTTACCTTTTGTATATTATTCGATAATCTAATGAAGTTTTCGCTTCGTTTATGCATTTTCTTGGTAACTTTGAATAAAGGACTAATAAATTAACTCTTTTGCTTTTATACTTGATTGATTTAAAAAAAATTAGAGGTACTCCATTCGGTTATATGTATTTTTGAGTGTTTCATATTCACAATAAGTTTTAACAAATAATTCCATATATACAGATAAATAAAATTGAAGTGTCTGTGTGTAATGTCAAAATAACAGCTTTTTAATAAATGCGTATGAAATTATATACGGTGCTTATAAGAAAAACATATTTTTTGTCTGTCAGTCTGTCCGTTTGTTCCGGTTAATCTACGAAAGGACTGAACTGATTTTGACGGGCCTTTACTTTCAAATAGCTACTGTTATAAGGAGGAACTTAAGGTACTTTTATTTAAGAGAAAAAATTAGGGTTCTGCTTTAAAAATAAAAACGTACCTAGGGACGAACCCGAGCAAAGCAAGGGTATTTCGCTAGTCCAAAAGTTAATAATTACATATGTACTTTTAAGCAAATGTTGAAATCTGTGTAACTTTTTGTTTAGAAGTAATTACTTTATAAGTAAATAAGGATTGGTCACACAGATGTGTATTCCACATATTTGTATTTTTATTTTCTCTAAATACTTTATCCCATATGACATACCCCTTGGTGTAACGACCGATGAATGCGATATTCACATTCCATTACATTTCTACCGTAATAAGTGTTTTTACTTATTTTTAAATCTAATGTTCTATATATGTAAATAAAAATCATGTTTGTACGTTTACAAACGTACGCGTTCCTAAATTATTCATCCGATTGTGATGAAACTCTGGCGGCCTTCTCTTGGGTATTAGCTTAATAATGTTTTTTATAATAAAGTCTGTTAACTATTTTTTAAGCGTCCCTAGTGAAAAACAAAAACAAACCTATCCCACGAGAACCGTACATTTTTCCGGAATAAAAAGTAGGCTATGTGTTATTCCAGACTATAATCTCTGTGCCAAATTTCATCCAGATCCGTTCAACCGTTCTGTCGTGAAAGAGTAACAAACATCGATTCATCCAAACTTTTGTATTTATAATACATACTTACTCGTAGTAGTAAGACTAACTGACCCGACAGATCTGGTTCCGTCAAATCAAGTGTGTAGCAGCCAACAGGCTCGATTATTAAAATGATTTTTTTTTGTTTTTCCGGGCTATTTTTTTTTAATTTTCTCGTCATAAGAACCTTCCTTGGACTTAAGCGAATAATTGAAAAAACAATTAGCCGAATTGGTCCAGCCGTTCTCGATTTTTGCGCTTAGCAACACATTTAGCTATTCATTTTTATTTATACTCGTATAGATTATTTGTATATTTTAAAAACATTATTGTGTGGCTACCAAATTATTTCCTAAGCTTCGGTTTAGATTTTAAAACGTTGGTATTACAAACTCTTTCTAAAATCATTCATTTATTACGTAAAGACAATTTTGACCATTTCTGACCCTCCCACCCCCATATAAGACTTCTCTGACCAATTGCACTAAAACTCATAATATGACGTAATTCAAAGATTTATAGTTTTGAAATTGCACATTAAAAAAAATCCATCTCAAAGTTGTTTTCTCCAACGCTTAGGTCTCAAATATACATCACTCTATGTTAGAAATCGCACATTTCGACTTATAAAATACTAGCGACTCATCCTCGCTTCGCTTTGGATTCGTCCCTAAACAAAAACAAATCTATCCCACGGGAACGTTACATTTTTCCGGGATGATATGATAGATATGATTCCTCAATAAACGGGATATCTAACGCAAATAGAATTTTTCAAATACGATTAGTAGTTCCTGGGATTAGCGCGTTCAAACAAACAGACAAACAAACAGATTGCCTCTTTATAATATCAGTTACATAGATTATAATATCTAAATATATTAAAATACTATGTTAAAATTGATAAAACTCTTTAAAACGTACGAAATGTGAGATCTAATTTAAAATATAAATATAACAGCGTCCTTTAGTCATCTGATTCCGAATAACCGCTACACATGGTTTTCAAATTTATCATCATTTGAATTTCTACTGTATTTTATTGTAGAATAAAGTTGAATTTCCTTTGAAATAACAAAAAATGACCATATGATTTAACTCTTAATCGGTCGTATGTATGTTTGAGTGAATACCGGCTTTTTTCAATTATAATTTTTAATAAGAACCTTATTACTTGAAATTAAAGTTTATTTTTCAACGAGTAGTAAATTTTAAAACAGGATTCGCTTCCCATATGATTTTTGTATGACATTCCTTTGAAATTGTTGCTATTTTATAAAAAGCTTTATGGGTTTGAAATTAAAGTTGTTTTTCTTTTGTCTGTCTGTATATTGTCGATCTTGTTAGGTTGTAAGGTCAGACAGAGTTAGTGGCCAGTGCTAAGAATTGAAAATTCTACCAAAAAGTTTATATATTTTTTTTGATTAAAAATCTATAAATAATTCGAAATTGTTAGGAAAATAAAGTGAGTGTAGTATTTGAAATTAACTTATTTTGAGAAGATATTATTTTGAAGACACAATTAAAGACTGTAATTCATAATAAATTATTTTTCTATTACAAGGCCAATGTTCATTTTTTTCAAAATTGATATAATTTTAGATTCTAGACACAATGCATATTGAAATATGTAATTAAAAAAATATTTGAGAAATTCTTGAATTAAGGAATTAGTTTTCTATAAACAAACGCACAATAATCAACTGTTTAGTTACACATGCATTTAAAATTAAATGTACACATCATTTTATGAACACCATAGAATATACAAGTGCGATACTACAAGCTATTTCAAAAATTTGCAAGTATTTACAAATTTTACCTTTTGTTTTGAATTCCTATGCGCAAATGTGTAAAAAAAAAGCTTAAAATACATTTATTTACTGTACTAGCGGCTCACCTCTAGAAAAACAAAAACAATTGTATCCCACGGGAACCTTACCTTTTTCCGGGTAAAAACAGACTATAAACTAGGTACCTCTGTACCAAATTTCATCCAGATCCGTACAGCCTTACTTAAACATATAAACTTTCACATCTATTATCTATAATATTAGTAAGATTGCTTAAGCTATGGTGCTTATTTATTAATAGCATACATAGAGATACGTATTCTAGTTACTTCATATCAGAGGCAAATTCATATAAAACAATTTACGAGTACAGATGTGTTTACAGTTGTCAGTTGTTATTTACTGTCTTATTAACAAATGGTTTTTGTTTATATTAAAATTAAAAAAAAACAGTCCCAAAGATCTGTAATAAACCTTTTTGCTCACTTTCTTTACTTTCTGCTAAGTTTTTACAATTGTGTAAACTTGGAATTGACAATGCATAATATAAATAAAAAGTAAACTCGTTTGTTTGCTTGGGATAGACTAGTTGAGATCATTCGGCAAATATTTTACTTTTGCAGTAAAATATATTAGCTACATAAATTATGTCGTTTCTACCTAAAGGCTTTTTAAAAGGAAGGGCTTAGGCTCGGTCATTATAAATACCACGATGACAGGTATTATCGCTTAGATCTACTCAAAATCCATACTTGTGCAGAATATTTACGAACCTTGTGCAGAATATGATTTGGTAGCTCAAATTATAAAAAAAAGATTTTTCTTAAATATCTTATAATTTTAGAGAATTCGACCACATCTGGTACTACAGATGTTTTAACAATAAGAACAATCACTGTGTCTTTGAAACAAAAAAATATAGTCCTTTGGAAAGCATTTGATTTAGTATATTTGTGCCGACATCGATTCATAACGTTTATTTCAATTTTGTATATTATACTTTTTACTACTGAATTTACTAGTATTATATTTCAATTTTATGTTTACATATCAACATACGACATACTCTATAAAGTTTAACTGAATGTTTTTCATTTTTTATAATTTTTAAATTGTCTCATTCGTTATTTAAATAATAAAACTTATAAAATATACAATTTAAGTTTAAAAACAATTAAATTGCAAGAGTAAAATCTACCAAAATAGTAGATAATTTCTACCAAACTCACAACACTAGGGGTGGCGGGAATACAACGGGTAGTCTGGATCACACAGCAGTTGCTATTCGACCGCGAACGGTGAAGCATCGTGGTTGGAAGCTCTGAAATATATTAAAATATTAAGATAATATAAATATATAATAATATAATGGACTAGTGTTTTGTGTTAAAAGTGCTATAAAAACTGTGAAAATGTGGGGAGAGAGTAGCAAAAACTGCGAAATCAACTGCCAGTGTTCTGGGTAAGTTCGGATAAAAACTTTGTGGATTGTTTAAATAAATTTATAAGTAAATAATTTTTATCCTATTTAAAAAAATAGATACACTGCTTTTTATATAAAATTTAACAATATTTTATTATTAAGTTTGAACAAATATTGACGTTTTTGACTCTCAAATTATACAATATCTCTGGTGATGAAAAATCAAAACATTTATTATATCAATGTATGAATGAAAACAATTAAAATATAAATAGAATTTAGCATTATTTGGATAAGAAATATTAGAAAGTCGTTACTGGAATAGTTAGATAATTTATTATCTGTATTTTTTGATATTAACGACTTTTTTTACATTCTTTTTAAACGTTTTTTTTGCGATTTCGATTTAAATTTAAATAAATTCTTCTCATAAATCGACAGACTTTTTTAATATAGATAACATAAAATTTGATAATTATTCTGATTAAAATAAAACTTATTATAGATAAATAATTATACTGTTTCAAGATAATTAAAATAATATTATAGTTTAGTGGATAATATTGTAGTATTTTCATGCTAGGCCGTACGATTCCCGCTTAAGGCAATTATTAAGTTACTTGATATTAATTAATTTACTTATTATTTATTAATTTAATTGATTATTCATTTTATTGCTAAGTATTATACTAATTATATTATAATCCTTCAAGGTATAGGACCACATGTGGAATATATTCGTTGGAATTTATTTTAAAGTATTACGTCATGACCTTGGACTCATGGTTTGATAACCTCAGTAGAAAAAGTTTGGCGAAAGTTTCTATGTCGATGAAAGTGAAGTTACTATCTAAAGTATGTTACTAACGACTGTGTTATATGATGTAAATGTATAAGTCGTGTAATTAATGTGCAAAATTCATTAGTTTTTGGGTTCCGTAGGTTTCCATAAGGTTTTGACGGAACCCGTTAACCAAGCTTTCGTTGACTGCTTGTAAGACAAGCAACGAAGTATATAGATTTCCTAACATTATTTATATATTGGTTTGTCTGTATTACAAGAAACGTGTTTGTTTTTACATTCATTGTTTTTACATTCATTGTTTTTACTTAAAGAACCTTGCAAGCTTGAATTACTGGCAGAAAGTATAAAATTGTTTTTTTATATCAAGTTCAGAAAATTGAATACGAAACTTGAGTTTTTATTTCGCTAAGCTAACATACATTCTAATAATAATTTCTTAGGCTGAATGAATTTAATCTTATGCCTTATCTTGGACGTTATCATAGTGACTGATTTATGTTTATATTGCCGTCCCGCTCTTACCATTAACATTTGTCGCGAGTTCGAAAGGGACAGAATATCAATTGGCGGGAAATGACTGTTAACACGTTCTCAAATTTGTACACGTTTTGCGAGTGATTTATTACTTTATTTATATTCTGTGGAGCTTTTTTCATTAATTGTTTTTTTTTCTACTTCGAATTGATCGAAATTATATTTTTAATTTATTCATTTTTATATATTTTCTAGCGTTTAATAAAGACGAAACAAAAAATGAATTTAAAATGGTGATATTAATATTTAAAAACATAATTAGAAAGTCATTTTGCCAAGAATTTATTGAAGTTCTATATAAAATTATTATCATTTGTCACCAGATGAAGAATAAAATACTTAAAATCAACTTTTTTATCGACATATTTAAGTTTTTTGACGTGGCTCAAGAATGTACTTATTTGTTCCCGTCTCATTCGCTTAGTATTCAGAATAAGTTACAGGATACTCGAGGTCAGATGACGTAATTCTTTACAGCCGTTAGACTAGACTTGGGTGCAGGTTCGATGCCAACTTGAATATGAATGAAAGCTTATATTAAGTTTTCGTAAGCGTTGTTAAATGCTTTCTTTATTTTTCTCTACAAAATAATATTTTATTGCACTAAAAGAATCTACCTTAAATGGATCCTCCACAAGATATAGATAGTAGATAAGTACTTATTTAGCATCCTTGCCACGATTTTAACCGTTTTATTTTAGCTAAAAAGTTAAAAAATAATAGTTTTTTTTATCGTAATTAGTTCAGCAGTTTAATGAGTGAAGCCTCGAAAACTGAGTGTCTCACAGTTCTAAGCAACTTCAATATGGAGACGAAAAACATGACGAGGAAACTTGCATGTCTGAGAGAACCTAGCAAGTTGGTGAAAGACATGGTACCTTGGCCAGCCTGGTGGACCATGGCCTGATCCCCCTCACGTTGAGGAGAGGCCCACGCCCAGCAGTGGGACGTTAAAAGGCTGTATGGTAATATTAGTTAGGATGAAAGTAATTCACAAAAGGACTGTGGTTGGAGAGAATGTACTCTAGTTATTAAACGACACCTGACTCTAAAACGTCTTCATTTTTATAGCAAATAAAATACTATATTACACAATTTTAAGTTTTATTCACATTTTACGTAAAGGTCTTTTTCGTTTGAGCCTAATTCGATTATACGGGCTCATTGTTGCTTCATAGACCACAGTATAAAACTCGGCCTATTTTTTTTGTTTTTTTTTTAATCTGTATTTATGGTGCAACACTACTTTTAGTCTGTGGTTAGGTCTGTTTATGTTATTTCTTAATAACGTACATTTTTATCTATACTGATAAATAAAATTGAAGTGTCTGTATGTAATGTCGAAATAACAGCATTTTACTGAATGCATATAGAATTACAAGTATATGTATACGGTACTTCTAAACTTAAATCAATTTTTTAAATTTTTGTCTGTCTGTCTGTTTATTCCGGCTAATCTCCGAAACGGCAGGACTGATTTTGACGGGACTTTCACTGGCAGATAGCTGATGTTACAAGGAGTAATCTAGGCTACTTTTATTTTAGAAAAAGAATAAGGGTTCCGTTCGAAAAATTTAAAACGTACCTAAGTACGCTCCCGCGCAAAGCGTTGCAAGTACTCGTAGCTAGTTTATAATACAATAGGTAGTGCTACCTTTTGGCAAATTTTACTTCTAATCACTCTAGGTCATATCTATCTAGTCATAATATATCTAGTCTTCAGTCGTTTAGCTTGTAGGAGTAACAAACAGACATACAAACTTTTGCATTTATGTATTCAGCCCTTTTTAACGTCCCACTGCTGGAGGTGGGCCTCCCTTCAATACGAGGGGGATCAGGCCATAGTTCACCACGCTGACCAAGTGCGGGCTGACTGAGCATGTCCGCAGACAACTTGCTAGGTTCTCTCAGACATGCAGGTTTCCTCACGATGTTCTCCTTCACCGTAACACAAGTGTTGATCATGTTGGGAATGAATCGCATATGAGAATATCAGAAGTACGAGACCCGGGATTTGAACCCGCTTCGCATTTATATCAGTGAAAATTTCATTCATATTTATGATAAATTACTTTCTGTTATCAATAGAGCGCATAGTTCATGTTAAAAGTAGGTTATTCGGGATGTAGATAACAAAGTGTATTTATTATAGATTTTGACCGATTTTAAAGTGAGGAGGACTTGATTCATCTTCTACTATATGTTATTTTCGTCACAAAAACAAAGAGGTTTTATCACTTTTAAAGATACCAGTGTTCGCCAAGTGGTCGAAATTCAAGCATAATCATTATTGAAAATTTAGATGAACATATGAATAGAATTTGCCCATTTATATTTAAAAAAAAGATTGTTTCCAAATTTTTATTGGTAACACTAAGGCTTGGCCATAGCTTCTTCTTCTTCTTCTCCCTGCCCATTTCCCAATCACTTGGGCTCGGTGCAGTACATCTTCTGTACTGCTGAAAGGATTTGGCAAAAGTTTTACGACCGGCCGCCTGCCTGACGTCAACCCTCCTTGGGAATAATAAAGTATAGACATAATAAAAATAATAATAAAGCTCGTCCATAGGTACTAAACAGAAAAAGAAGATGGGTTGACAAACAGAGGAGAATATATCCATTTTAAAGTTGGTGTAACTTCTTAGTTAAAACTAACGATTTACCCTCGCTTCGCTCGGCTGCGTCCCTTGGTACGTTTTAAGTTCTTTTCGGCGGAACCCTTATCCTTTTTTTATAAAGTAAAAGTAGCCTAAGTTACTCCTTATAACATCAGCTATCTGCCACTGAAAGTCCCGTCAAAATCAGTCCAGCCGTTTCGGAGATTAGCCGGAACAAGCAGACAGACGGATACAAAAATATTAAAGGTTGTATTTTTCTTATAAGTACCGCATATATCTAATTATATATGCATTTAGTTGTAAAAAGCTGTTATTTAGTCATTATTCGTTACAAACAGACACTTCAATTTTATTTATCTGTATAGCTTAAGAAGTAATTGTCTCAAACAGATTTTCTACTATTTTAAATTATGTTCATTTCTATTTCTCTTATTTTGCAAATAATTGTATTATTTTGTTTATAAGACGTCGTCTTTAATAGCTAAGCTTTAGCTTTAAAGACGTCAAAAACCTAAGAAGAAAAAGAAATGGTATCCAGAGTTTCATAGAAAAGCTACCTCGGGCAGGTATCGAACCTCGTACCGTTAATTCAATTACACTTAGTTCTAACACACCCCTATATTTATGTATATTGATTACAAATCGCCATATGCCGTTGTAAGAACGTTAAATACGTTAACGGCGGGTCACGGTGTTGCACCGACACATGCATGGATAGGTTTTGATAGAGTTCTCGTTAAAAATAGATCAGTTTTAGGAGGAATACTGTATAAGATATAGGGACGTGATATAAATAAATATGTTGGTACATTAACACAGCACCATCTAGTTCCATGGTAAGCTACAAGGCTGGTGTTATGGATACTAGATAGTTGATACACTACACATATATAACTTTGAATACATACATATTATAAATATAAACACCCATGACTGGAGTACAAGCATTCGTGCTCATCACACAAATGAATCTCATTACATCTTCTGTACTGCTGATCGGTTTTGGCAAAAGTTTTACGACCGGCCGCCTGACTGACATCAACTTACTCTTGGGACTCTGCCGAAACCTCAAGTTTTACCGAACTTGTTGGGAAGACAGAAATTGGGAGTTCCAGTTTCAAGGATATAAGGCTTCATGCATGGCGGGTGACGATCCTCTACCCATATTTTAACGAACAGGAAGCGATAGGTTGTTATAATAAAATAATCTATACGTATTTTAAATAAAAAAAAACTTAACGCTTGACCTTTTAAAAAACCTTTTATAAAGCACTCTTAGGGCATTAACTCGTAATTTAATTACAACGGTCTAGGTTTTTGATGTAAAAATATAGATTTTTTAGTAAAGATTACATAGTTTAGGCCCGCGATTTTGCTTGTGTTTTACATATATGAAAATGGCCAATTTCATTAGTCTTTTGAAAATTAGTTAGTTTCTCTCAGACATGCAGGTTTCCTCTCGTTTTCCATTACTGTGAGCCAGAGTTAGAATATCAGAGCGTGACACGGGATTTGAACCCGCTTCACTCGGTTTCCCAAGCGAGCGCGGTACCACTGAGCTATTAACCCTTTGCAACAAGTATATTTATTATATTTTATTTAGCACCAGCTTTGAACTTATGTAATTTAGAAATAGTGAGGTGAGTGAAACCTTTTATTTTTTTTAATTTTAGAGGTTCATTTTTTTTAATATGAATTTATAAAGAAATAATATATTTTTTTTACAAAAATCGGCAACATTTACTATATACAGCTAACCCCTAAACGATAACATATAATTCTCACCCCGCGTTCGTTGCTAGTGCGTTCAACCCAACAGATGTACACTTGGGGTGCATTTATGTAGAAAAATCTTAACCGACTTTACAGAAACGTGTACTAAGACGTTATATATTCGTTAGATACTAATAAAACATAAAAAATCGTGGAGATACTTTTTATTGATGCGCATGCGCAAGCAAAGATTTTAAAATCAATTTTTTTTTTCGAGTCTTAGAATATGGTGGCCACTCTCAAATATATAGAGAGATAGATACTTAAATCATAATCGTAATCTTGTATTTCATGTATTACATAATTAAATTATCTATACAGATAAATATAATTGAAGTGTTTGTATGTAATGTCAAAATAACAGTTTTTACTAAATGCATATGAAATTATATACGATACCTACTTATAAGAAAAAAAAACAATTTTTGAAATTTTTGTCTGTCTGTCTAATATTTGTTCCGGCTAATCTCCGAAAGGGCTGGACCGATTTTCTCCGGGACTTTCACTGGCGGATAACTGATGTTATAAGGAGTAACATAAGCATTTTTTATTTTATAAAAAGACTTAGAATTCCGCTCAAAAAAAATTAAAACGTACCCAGGGACGCACCCGAGCGAAGCGAGCGTATGTCGCTAGTAGAAAATATTATCAGTTAAATTAATATTCATAGTTTAGTGGTTTTATTCCTTAGTTTATTATAAAATAATCAAATGTCACTTTTTCTATGTCTAATGAAATAATGTCGACAATATATCATTCGAACACAATTTTTTTGAGTATATTTAAAAATAAATTCATGTTTAGAACTCATTAAAATAAAAAAACAATTGAATCGATAATTAAAAAAAGTGAAACCAATTCGCATCAAACCTCTTTGGAACTAAATAGAAACTATAAATATTGATTATCTGTGAATAAAATTGTCTATGAGTGGTGCTGACAAAAAATATAATGGCGTTAGATTGGGGACTAGGGTGAAATGACACCTGCCTCCATCGCAAATATTGTGCAAAATAATATCATACTCTAAATGTTGCTAATAAAGTCGATTTTGCAATGAATTAATTAATTTAATTGTTATTTTTATTGCGGGTGTTATCGCTTTTATATGCAAAATTGGGAAGAGGTCGCAGGTTCGATCGATATCCTAGATTTTTGTTGAGTAATTTTGACAAGCTGCCCATTAAAAAATTGACTCTCGACATGTTCTTCCTATAAATTGTATGTATATCTATGTAGTCGCCAGTCTCCTAAACTTCCTGACTTAATGCTTTGTAATTTTTATACATATTAGTGATTTTATATAGGTTTTATTGCCTGCTCTTGCTTTAATCTCTTGAGACACGAATATATAACACTGGTATACTAAGAACATTTTGACAGAAAACCTAAAACCTATACGAGGCCCGACTCAGGACTCGCACTCGGAACTTTCCGATCAACATGCCACATATTAGAGCAACTAGCTGGCGCTGAAGCACATCCATTTTGACATCGTTCTATCGTCTTGATTTGTCCACGTTGGTAAACACTGAAAACAGTACAGAATTCAAGTCATTTTACGGTAAGCAAATCTGCGAGCAAAATCATCTATACAGATAAATAAAATTAAAGTGCTCTATGTAATGTCAAAATAACAGCTTTTAACTAAACGCATGCTCGCATATGAAATTATATACGGTACTTAAAAGAAAAATTCATCAGTTTGTCTCGTCTGTCTGTTTGTGCCGTAATCTCCAAAACGACTGGACCGATTTTTATAGGATTTTCAATGGCAGATAGTGGGTGTTATAAGGAGTAACTTGGGCTACTTTTATTTTAGAAAATCAATTAGGGTTCCGCGTAAAAAAATAAAACTCATTAAATTGTGACGAAAATCCACTTACCTATGGACGCACCTGAGAGAATTGAGGGTAAGTCGCTAGTATGAAAATATATATAAAACTTTAGTGAAATTAAAGGAGAATTTACTATTATATTGTTTTTTTTTGTTCATATCGATTAAAGTCATATATATGGCTAAGTTTTATGGACGTATAATCTGTGGTTTCCACCGCCTTTGATATGAAGTAAAAAAAAACTCATCACAACCACAAGCTGACTTCGTTAAATATAACCATATTCTTCGACTTCGTCTGTATTTATTCAATTATAGCTGCTAAAAATAGATTTTATAGCTTTTCCCAGATTTTCAAGCTTTCTCCGGATACCAGCTTTGTATAATAATGCATGGAATAAGATCATGTGTGGTATGTTCTAAGTGAAGCAGGTTCGAATCCGAGTCTTTTAATTCCATTACTAAAGGACCGTTCGGTAGATTAGGTCGATTTAAAAATATGATCTATTTCTATTACGAAGTTTACTCAAATCTGTTAAGCCGTCACAGAGTGAAGCTATATGAGAACTAGTTGGCTACAGTCGATACTAATATTATAAATGCGAAAGGAACTCTGTTCGTCTATTATCTTTTCACGATTAATCCGCTGAACCGATTTAGATGAAGTTTGGCATGGGGATAGTTTAATACCCTGGGAAGAACATAAGATAGCTTTAATCCCGGAAATCAACCCTTAAGGGGGTGAAAAGTGGGGTGGAAGTTTGTATGGGGCATCAATTATTTCACAAGTAAGAGGTATAATTAAAGTCATCATACCTATGCATGAATATATAATATAGCCTTTCTATTCCGATTTTGACGACACGTTTAGCTCAGTTTGTAGTGACCCTACGTACTTGCCAGCGGTCCCGGGTTCGAGTCCCGCTGGGCGCTGGGGGAATTAATTTGTGTGATGAGCACGAACATTTGTACTCCAGTCATGGGTGTTTATATTTATAATATGTATGTATTTAAAGTAATATATGTGTAGTGTATCAACTATCCGGTATCCATAACACAAGCCTCGTAGCTTACCATGGAACTAGATGGTGCTGTGTATTAATGTACCAACATATTTATTATTTATTTATACTAAGCGTCAAAGCGGCTATATATAGCAAGACAATAGAAAGATATTATTTTGACCGTAAGAAAAACATAATATGGTCCCATGCCATAATATAACCATGGCGAGTTAGTACCTACACAATAAAAGACCAACGTCAACCCGGTTTTAAAAGAATGTCTCGTAATGATGCTCGAAGGGGTTTATAAAAAATTGAATGTATATTAACACATTGCTTTGGTCATCTCTAGTATGTAGCTGTGATATACATACATATAATCATACTTTTGATCTATTTTTTTGTTAAATCTCATCAAAATTTACACAGTGTTTTGAATTCTTTTGATTTAATAGCATCATGATAAATATAGCTACTTTAAGAATATTGGACTTTAGTTGTTTATTTTTGCTTCGTCTATCCATGCTCTAAATTTCTTATTTCATCCAAATCTGTTCAGCCTCTACTTTAAACATAGGATAGTTTTTATCCCAGAAATCATCCCTTAAGGGGGTGGAATGATAATGATGTAAAAAAGTATTTATGATAGACGTATATTGCACGTACCAGGAATGAACCTGCTATATTTCATAATCTATATATATAATAAAATTCTGAGTCGAATCTGTAAATTAAATATTTTTTGGAAAATCTTATTGAAATAATTACTATTATCTATACAGAGGACCGTATCTATAGTTTTTAGAATTTTTTTATGTCCGTCTGTATGGGAACGCATCACGAGAAAACCGCCGGACAGATTTTGAGGAAACTTGGTATGATAATAGCTGGTTATCCGGGTCACCATATAAGATACTTTTCACTGCGGGAAAATATCTCATCTCTGAGAAATGTATACTAGACGATAAAACGTAACCAGGGACGAACCCGAGCGGAGCGAGTCTGATGCCCGATTTCACCAACAACCCATAAGCTATCACCTACGTATGGGATCCCTAGCTTAAACTTCCCCTAAACTAGCCCCTAAATTAAATTTCATTTCACCATCGTCTTTAAGCCCATATTTCGAGCACCTAAATTTACGGGGCCTTTTAACATTTAGGTGACCCCTAACTGCCGGTGAAACAAACTGTCCCCTAACAGCCCCCTAACCATGCTTAGGGGATCCCTTAAACTTAGGTGACGTTGGTGAAATCGCGCATAAGACGCTATCATCCATAAGGTTACCAACGGTCGTTTTATACGTTACACTACGTGATCGGAAACGGTAGAAATTGAAAGGATTTCAACAGTGAGAGTGAATCGTTAGCTTCACGCCAGAGTAAGTTTGACGTAAAAACGGACTTTAGTAACGACATGCATAACGTAAATGTGTAGTTTTTGTCTTAAGATTGATGGTACAGTGGTTGTGGTCTAGATGGGTAGCGCGTTCAATTCGAAACAACCATATTTGTCCTTATATAGAGAATAAAGGGATTGAACGTGTGTTAAATCG